TCTCGGGCTGTAACACCCGGTCAAATGTTTAATTGCGGTCTCGGTGCAAATTTCTTTTGTCTCACATGAGTATACTCTCACAGCCGTGCGTAAGCTCGAGACAGTGCAATCGTGGTATCTTATTCGGAGATGTATATATACAGGTGGATATATACAAGCTATATTTATTTGCCCATATATATGTGTGTGTCTATGTGATTGAGTGAGAGTGAGTGTTTCACACAGTGTGAGATATTCTCATATATAGGTATATTTTATTAAGTATCTGAGATTTATAGTGAATCAGGTACACACAGTTTCAGTGGTTCATTCAATCTCTCAATCTCTTTACACCTATATATACATATACATACACATATATATATACATATATATATATATATATATATATATATATATATATATATATATATATATATATATATATATATATATATATATACATACATCTCTCTTTACCAATCATCGTTCTTGCATATGATTAGTTCACGAGGCAGGTTTTTTTTTTTATTATTGTTTTTTTTTTCTAATCTTTTATACAGCTTATCAAAAAGCGGTTAAAGGAGTTTGGGATATTTGTTCCGTCTAGACTTAAGATATTTAAGACTAAGCGGAGATTCGTTGCCGGGCCATTTGACGTTGAACCGATTAGGGTTACGCACTCTATTCCAGATTGTTCCGGGTTGGTTTTCCGATGTTCTGATGGAACTATTCTTCACACAGGAGATTGGAAGGTACTTACGTGCTTATCTTTCTTTCTTTTTTTATTTATTTTTTACTGTTTTCGCTTTTGTGCTTATTTACTTATTTATTTTATTTTCCCCGTTTAACGTTTACGAGCAATCCGACAGATAGACGAGTCACCATTGGATGGGAAAGTTTTTGACCGTGAGGCTCTAGAAGAACTTTCAAAAGAAGGAGTGACTTTGGTGAGCGTTTAACCGGACACGTTTTTCGTAATTGTTTAAGAAAATTGTAAAAACACTATTTTAGGGCGATGAAAATACGGATGTATTTTTAATGAAATGAAACCATTATCTAATTCGATCGGATGTCGAATTAGATCATACTACACGATATGGATGCTAATTACCGTTGAATTTTTCTATCTTGCTTTGTAGATGATGAGCGATTCGACAAACGTACTCTCACCGGGAAGGACACTAAGCGAGTCTGTAGTGGCAGATTCGTTATTAAGACATATCTCAGCTATCCAAGGAAGAGTTATCACCACTCAATTTGCTTCAAACATTCATCGGCTCGGTAGCGTAAAAGCTGCCGCTGATTTGACTGGACGCAAATTGGTATGCTTTCTATACATCATAAATTGAAATTTCGGGATTTTCAAAATTGAATTATTTTTTTTAGACATGGGTAAACGTAACATGGCTATCCACATTTCTAGGTATTTGTTGGTATGTCGTTAAGGACTTACTTAGAAGCCGCGTGGAAAGACGGAAAGGCCCCTATTGATCCTTCAACGCTGGTAATCACATTGATCACTCAACCGTAATTTAGTAGAACACTCGACCGTAATTTTTTCTCGAGAGTATCAGATATTGCATGAGCATGAACATGCGTTTAGGAGGTGAATATTCTTCTATTTGTTTTCTTTATTTGAAAATTAATCGAGCTAAACACGCCCTTAGTATCAGATTTTTTTATTTTTTACTTTTTATTTTGTAATGGAAGACGCAATAGTTATTTTATCATATGCCAATATTAAATGTTTGAAAATTTATGTTGCTTTCTTGTTATTCGTAGTGCGTATATTCTCTTTTTTTTGCTGGTTTTAATTTTTTTTTCTTTAATTAAATTTTGTTGTAACATGTTACTTGAATATCTGTTTACGTAATCTGCAAATGATATTATGCTGTTGTAATTTAGTGTATCAAATGTAGTTAATTTGAATTCTTGTGCACTTTATTCCCATTTTATCGACCTTTTTTTAACGCTCCCTGATATATAGCTTTTAGTGTACAGGTGAAAGTAGAAGATATTGAAGCTTATGCACCAAAGGACTTACTAATCGTCACAACTGGTTCTCAAGTAAGTAAATCGACCCATCTCTGCTAATGATTAATTATTTCTAATAAAGACTAACACGTTGTTTAATTTGCTAATGTTTTCAGGCAGAGCCACGTGCTGCGTTGAATCTTGCATCGTATGGAACAAGTCATTCCCTCAAGTTGAATAAAGAAGACGTGATTTTGTACTCTGCAAAGGTAACAGATCACATTTTCGCCTTTTCTTTAAATTTGGTCATTTTGTTTTACCATGGGTTTATTATATCAAAATAAATTACAGGTAATACCAGGTAACGAGACTCGAGTGATGAAAATGCTGAATCGAATATCGGAAATCGGATCGACAGTAGTGATGGGGAAGAACGAGCTTCTGCATTCATCTGGTCATGCCCATCGTGAAGAACTCGTAAGATATTTTTTAATTGCTCTCAACATTTTATAAATGATTTCATGTTTGAACTTTACGAATGGAATTTCACATTGTTATTATTATTATAATATATCTTTTTTGAAGGACGAAGTGCTGAAAATCGTAAAACCCCAACACTTCCTACCCATTCATGGAGAACTCTTATTCTTGAAAGAGCACGAGTTGCTTGGAAAGTCAACCGGCATTCGACATACTACAGTAAGTTGATAGCTTCAGTTCTAAATTCCCCATTCTTCGTATATGATCTTAGTATCCGGCATTTATTGCGCCTTTTGATTACAGGTCATAAAGAATGGGGAAATGTTAGGAGTGTCCCATTTGAGGAATCGAAGAGTTCTATCAAACGGCTTCATTTCCCTCGGTAAAGAGAATCTGCAGGTTACAATCGAAACTCAATCTTCCTTTTTACCATTGTTTCAACTAAAAACAATATTGTATTTTCTTGTTCTTTTCCTGAGTGGGATTTTTGAACATATCTCAGCTGATGTATAGTGACGGTGACAAAGCATTCGGTACATCAACCGAACTATGTCTCGATGAAAGGGTGAGAATAGCATCCGACGGTATTATAGTCATTAGGTAAGTACTCCATCAAGAAAATCTATTTTTTTTTCTTCTTTTCTTTTGCTTTTTCTTCACTTAGAGCCCGTTTGGCTAAGTTTATTTTAAACAACTGATATGCTCTTACATCCGATAAGCTGTTTTAAGAGATGATAAGCTGTTACGTATTTGCGAAATTAATTTTTGAAGTGTTTGGTAAATAATCTTGAAAGTTGTTTTTTCTGATTTTAAGATCTTTTTGAAAAAAAACTTACCAAACGCTTCGGTTCTTACACGATTGCAACTTCGTATCCATCAACAACAGTATGGAAATTATGCGGCCACAAGCAACAGATAATTCGGTCGAGAAGGTCTTGAAAGGGAAAATAAGAATCACAACACGATGCTTATGGCTCGATAAAGGTAAACTATTGGACGCGCTTCACAAAGCCGCACACGCATCACTGTCCAGCTGTCCCGTGAGTTGCCCCCTGGCCCACATGGAAAGAACCGTGTCTGAAGTTCTGAGAAAAATGGTGAGGAAGTACAGTAGCAAAAGACCAGAAGTGATAGCTATTGCTATCGAGAATCCAGCTGGCGTTCTTGCCGATGAAATCAACGGAAAATTATCCGGGAAATCGCGTCCGGGATCCGAGATTGCAGCATTGAGACGAGCAGTTGGCGGGCATGAAAAGAAGAGACAGCCTGTCGCTGTAGTTGACGAAGATGGCAATGGTCTTCCACTTGCAACGAGTACCCCCGAACCAGAGTTACAAGGTTAAATTTAATTGCATTCTGTTCACACAGTATAATTAGTTTTCAAACTGATTTTTTTTATGGTTTTTCTTTTACTGCCTAATTTTACGGAGGGACTTGATAAATGCAGGACACCTTTTACTAAATGCAGGATGCTTTATTTAAAAATCTTTTTCCTCTAGGTTTCTCGAGGATATTATTTTGTGAGAATATCGCGTCATTAATCATCAAGAAAACGAATTTATCGGATTTGGAGCATGATATGGTTTAAAGTGATGTAGTTTTTTTTTGTAGAAGCCTCCATTTTTTCAATTTCAAGACAAATCGATGCACAAATTTCGAATTTAAATGATTTTTCTCTAATTGAATTCTAAAAGCTTTAAAACCGTAATTTAAATTTCGAATTTCAACCAAACTACATGTAAAAATTTAAATGAAAGAGGCGGAATTATAGGTCGATTGTTAAAATTTGAAAAATGTTCTGTGTTTGGTAACAATCGACGTGTATTTATCATTTCAGTTTTACCAACCAACAACTTTATATTATTTTATTTTTTTATTTGTTGATGCAGTTCAAGAAACCGATGAGAAAGTTCAAGTTAAGGAAGTAGCTATCAACGAGTCCGACGATTTTTGGAAGCCGTTCACATCCTCTTCGGTGCCCATTCAATTAGACAGCAACATTGATTTGCTTCCGGAAGAACAGAAAGAAGAGGCCAAAGAAGAAATCGGCGATGAGGTCATTGCTGAGGTGGCAAAATCTCAAGTAAAACCTTCCAAGGCTGCAAAGCCGAACAAATGGAAACCCGAAGAGGTGCAGAAACTCATTAAGCTGCGTGGGGAGCTCCACAGCAGATTCCAAGTTCTCAAAGGGCGAATGGCTCTTTGGGAAGAGATATCGTCCACTTTGTTGTTGGACGGAATTACGAGAAGCCCTGCGCAGTGTAAATCTCTTTGGACTTCCCTTCTTCAGAAATACGAGGTTCGTTTTTTGTTTTCGTGTTCTATTTATGTTTCTTTTGATAAAATCATGCATTATACTTATCGGGTGTACTTTGCTATAATAAGCTTTATGTAGGTAGCTTTTGCAAAAGCTTATGAAAAAGTGATTATGAGCTTTTTTTGCCCGCTCGGAATAAGTGCTTTAAGCCGTAATTTCAAAAGCACTAGGTTTTTTTTATTATTCATATCTCAAAATGAAGGACATTCAAGACAATTCACCATAATAAGCTGCAACTTAAAAGTTTATTTTGCAAACACATCAACTTATAAGTTAACTGCGTAAAGTTGATATATTTTCAACTTCATAATACTAACTTGTGCTTTTACATAAGCTTTTGCAAACACCCCCGTAGCACATCAACCGAGTCGTGTTCGTGTGTATGCATGTATGTATGTGTGTGTGTGTATCGAAAATAAGTGAAAGGTGTATATGTATATGTATATGTATTTATATATGACTGTATTCTTACGTGATTTGCTTTCTTGAACAGGAATGTAAGGGCGACACGAAAACCCAAAAGAGCTGGCCGTATTTCGAGGATGTAAACAATATCCTATTGAATTTAGAATCTAATGCCTCCAAATGATTTCTAAATGCAATTTGCTGCTTTTTTCTTAAGAAAGCAAAAATCTTACGGCGGGTGGAAAAAAACAGCTTGCTTTACCGGACGCTGAGAAAGAAAATCGAGGAGCTGGATTAAATCACACCCGGCGACCGGGATTGATATGATAGGTAGCCGGAACAAGTTTAATTTTTATCAAGAATTATAAGATAAGCTCAAGGTTTTGAATTATTGTAATTTGTGTACTTTGGACACAAAATATATTGTGTAAAAAGAATCAATTTTGTAGACTAGTCTCATTTTCTATAAAATCTGTTCTATGAGTATATAATGTGAATTATTCCTTAGATTGATTATTATTATTATTCACCCAATATAACAGTTAATTTACCAAATTTCAAGATTCTAGTATGCTTAAGCAGTCATAAAACCTTGAATTTGATTTTTTTATTTTTTTCTGGGCAGAAACTAAGAAATAAAATCTCAGATTCTAGTGTGTTTCACAATTCCAGCATGACAAATATCACTAATTATTCTTACTGACAAGGAAATTAGCTATTGATTTTTCTTCCTAAAACCTTTGTCAGAAGAAGAAACAACATTAGACATAATTTTGTATTGAAAGAACATAATATATTTAATCTACAGTAGAAACAGAACTACAAACAGAATTCCTCAAAACCATAATTCAATATTCATAATTTCATTAATCCACAATATTCATGATCAAACTAATTAATTAATTAATTAATCCTCCTCGAACCAAGCATGACGAAGCGCAACTTCAGCCGTTATCCTATTCTCCGGATCGTAACTCAAAAGCTTGCTTAGCAGATCGAATCCAACTCGTGTAAGCATCGGAAACTCGTCTCGTGTCAAAGTACAAGCCAGTTGACCAAAATTAGCTGCACTCCCCGGCAAACTCGTAAATCCAGGCCAGACATCCTCGTTCGGAGTCCCCAAAACCCTATACACACACTTAATCTGATCCAACTCAGATTCCCCTCTAAAAAGCGCTTTTCCCGTAAACAACTCCGCCATTATACAACCAACCGACCACATATCCACCGCACTCGAATATTTTTTCGCTCCGAGTAGAATTTCTGGAGATTTGTACCAGCTAGTGCCTACACTCGGTGTATATAATCCCGACCTGCTTCCAAACGAACGGCACATCCCAAAATCGCATATCTTCAAATTTAACAGCCCTTTTTCGTCCTTGTTCACGAGAATATTCCCCGGCTTCAAATCCCTATGCATCAGTTTATTCGAATGAAGAAACTCGACCCCCTCCAATAACTGCTTCATCAAGCACTTGACTTCGCTCGGATCAATAATAAAGGGCTCGTCGTCTTTCTTCTTGGATTTGATGTACTTATTCAAATCACGTTCGAAATACTCCATGACTATATAAACGGGGTCTTCTTCTTCGTCGTCGTCGTCAAAATCATTACCGACGAGAACTTCCTTTAATCGGACGATGGAAGGGTGAGGAAGAAGGGACTCGAGTACGTCGGTTTCTCGGAAGGAAGATACGGAACATCCGTTGAACTGTAGTTTGATGGCGACGATTTCTCCGGTTTTCAAGTGGCGAGCTTTGTGTACAACGCCGTAAGTTCCAGATCCGATTATATCAATACTTTCATAACCTGTATTATTAAGCATGACGGAGGAATATTTTTTATTTGTTTTTCTTCCGATAATCTTGGAGGGTTCATCGTCGTGGTCGGAATCAGTTTGAATAAAAGCGCAGTCAGGTTTGGGTTTCTTGACAGTAATATTTTGAGGCGGTTTGGATCTGACAGCAGCTCGTTTTCTGGAACCATAGATAGAAGCATACAGATTCTTTCTTTTCACCACTTCGGCGGCCATGGAAACTTTCTCTCTCTAAATCTCTCTCTCTCTCTCTGAAAATCAAATCTAATCTGGTGTTACGTCGTTTGCAATGAGCCGATTGATTAGGGTTTATATACAACAATAGATAGAATGCATTGTACGATTAGGTGAACGGAACGTGTTTGCATCTTGAGTTAATTAATCAATCGTTGTTACCTTTCCTTGTAGAGAACTACGCGCTTTGTAATTAAATCAAATCTA